GGTCCTGCAAGCTCAGGAGGAAGGTTCCTTCCACGTTGGCGGGGGAGACTCAGGCCCTCACCGCTGCGGTCGCCGAGGTGGAGTATTTACAAGTGCTCTACCGCGACGTGGTGTTCCGCGACGTGGATGTCCCAGACTGCGTCCGAGCCGCGGGGCCCTTTACCACGGTCCTTCGGCGAGACTGCCGCCTGGGCTCTAGAGAGCGACAAGTGCATGTCGTGGACGCGAAGTCGATCTACGATACTATGCAGAAGGAGGGCAACGCCAGCGCCAGGGACCGGCGGACGGCTCTCGATCTGGCGATCATCAGCGAGTCGCTGGAGCGCGCCCAAGGAAGAGTTCGATGGATTCCCCGCGGGCGCATGCCCGTTGACTCGCTCACGAAGGACGATATCACCAAGAGCAACGCCGCGTTGTTCGACCTGGTGTCGCATGGCCGCCTGTGTCTCATCGATGAGGAGGAGGAGGTGATGCGGAGGAAGGACCAGCCTGAGCTCAAGGACAGGTCTCAGGCAGCTTCCCGCCGAGTACTAGCTATGCTGTCATGGAAGGAGTTTCTCGTCCAGACGGTACCCCTGGAGGAGCCTAGTGATGGTGGTGGTTTCCCGACCTCTCCTCTCTCCCCCTCCTCGACCGCTTCTGCCAGCTTGCAGTCACCTATCTTCCAGTAGCCCCCGCTCTGTCTGCTATCGCCATTTTTGGCCTCTTAATGTTCTCCGCTTTCTTTCTTTTCGTTCGAGCGTCTCGAGTCAGGGGTCGAGTACGCTACTGTTCTGGGTGCAGGACAGCGCGCTGTGGCTTATCTTAGCCAGTATTTAAGGGTGCTAAACCTAGGAGAAATTCTGACCCGTGTGACAAGGGTCTATATTTTCACGAACAGGTTTAGCGTGATGTTTCTTCCAGGGGATCTTTGACAGAGTGCGCTTGTGTCCGTACTTTGGCTCAAGGCAAAACATTCGTTTGCTCCTGCTGCTGCCACAAGTGGGGAGACAGCGCGCTGGAATCGACGATGCGACTCCCCCTGAGCCCTGTTCCCCCCTGGCGTTGCCCCTGACAGTCGGCGTCGCGCAGGAGGGGGCACGGAGAAGGGCAGCCTTCTGAGAAGGCGCCCCGCCTGGCAGGAGCTCCCCGCTGCCCTCTCGGAGGCCTCAGAAATCGCCGCGAGGGAGCCGATACCTTCCCCAGAGGCCCCCCTGCCTCCTCCGAAGGCCACCCCTCCTTGCCCTGCCCCTCTGGCGCACCGTCCAGCAGTGGAAGTGGCGAAGGTGGAGGGGTGGGGGGGCCCTTCGATGCAGCTCGCACGGGGGCTAAGAACAACCCTTCCTTCGGTAGCAAAGCATGGGAGCCTTGTATCCCTTCGCAATTCCGTCTCTCGAGTGTGCTAGTGTCGATCAGCGTCTGGCAGTCGATGGGATAGCGCCGATGTAGCGTCGATTGGCGTCGATTTAGCGTCGACTTAGCGTCGATCCGCGTCGACTGGCGTCGATTCGCAGGAGCCAGCAGGCTGGCACGGGAGGCACCCGTGAGTCGCCACGGACCCTTCCTCTGGGAGGGGCCCCCTTGATGATTCTTTGCCTTGGGCTCCCCGCCCTGGCGCCTCGCTCTTGGGCATCTGCACGGGGCCTTGGGCCGTCGGCGGAGGGACCCGCGTTCCTGGCCCGCGTTCTTCGAGTAGGGGATCGACTGCAGAATTGGTGTGCCCCAAATGGTTTTTTCGCAGAATCTACGAGAAAGCACGAAGAACGGAACAACCTGCGCATTGTCAGTCGACCCGACGAAAAAAAATCAAGTTTGGGGTGCATCAATTCTGTAGTCGATCCCCTTCTGGAGTTCTGGAGCCTCCCTGATTGCCAGTCCATGCCAGCCTCCTCCCGGGCAGCGCAAGGCGAGCAACACATTCATTGGGGACCGTGAGCCCCTCTCAGGACGGCTGGCGGCATCCAGAGACGCGGCACCCCACCTCCAATAATGTAGCCTGCGACCCTGCTGGGCACGCCGGCGACCCACGCTTTTTTTGGCAATGCCTCGACTGCACGAGCAGGCTTTTGACTTCGATGCCGACGTCGACGTCCACGACGACGCCGACGACGATGTCGACGACTTCGACCCTTCGTGGCCGCCTGCGCACGTCGCGGGGGTGCGGCACGTTCGCGCCGCGTCGACGCGGCGGCGACCCCGCCGTGGGCGTTGAAAGTTGAACGCCGCCAGTGGCCCAGAATCGGCCAAGGCGGAACGATCCGGCGATCAACAAGCCGCCGCTAGTTGAAGGCTGAAAGATCCACTCGGGGTCAGAAGCCAGCAGCGGGGTCGTCACGACTCGATTTTGGCGTAGGTGAGGGTGTCACCACTAGAAGGTGGCCGTCAATGAAGAGGATGGCTTGGCTGCACCCGAGATTTACCAGGGCTGTTGCCGTTGCCAATGTCGGCTCGTACTTTCGAGAACAGAGTGGTGGAACAAATCCTCGTGAATGAAGTCGACCATGCAGAATCGCCCGAATCGCCCATCCGTCGCGTCCGAAGAGACAGAAAAACAGGTCAGTTGACCTGGTGCTTCTGATTGCATTACTGTGATCCTATCCACGGTAGGGCGGACAGTCAAGGCTTCCTGGAGAGAGAGGGGAGACATTCATTTGCATTACGTTGTTGCCTTGCCTTGCTGTGTCTTCGGAGCTGGGATGCCAATCTTTCTTGAGCAAAGGGAACTTTGAAGGTTTAAGTAAGGCGTGATTGAGTCAGCAGTCACAGAACACGTATCCTTTTTCGTTCCATAGAGCGCGTTCACCTATCACTCTTCTGTTGATGTCTTCTACTTGCTTTACTACCTCTTTGGATTGCGATTCGGTTGAGAATCTGTTTGAAATAAGGCTTATCACCAGGATAACTTGGCACGGACCTTCAGGGTGGCGATTGACGGAGATGGGAGGGGGGGTGAGACGGAGTGGGACGGTATGCGGGCACCTTGGCTGGGGACGGAGAAAGGTAGCCAGGTAGGAGTGCGAAATGAACAGAGATCTGTGCATCCTCCAGCCCCTTCCCCTTCCCCTCCCCTCCCTGCGCATCCCTCTCACCCCCCCTTCCGATTCCCCCTTCACCTCTTCTCGTCTCCTCCGCTCCCCCTGTCACTCTCTACACCCAAACACATCCGGCATCCGGGCACCGCCGAAACGATGCCGAAGAAAGACATCGGGGACCATCCCGAAAGCGTTCGAACACCCAGGAAAGTTCGCGAGCACGCCGACCGGTTGCTGGACGAATTGAAGCCGCAAGGGGCGCTCGTCAGCAGCTGGCCGAAATGCGCTGCGGCATCAATATAAGGGACGGGCGACCCATGGAAGGTAGGCCAGTCTGTCCTGTTGACCGCCACCAGTGATGTTTGAGCCCTAGGTAGCCCTCAGTACGCGTTTGTCCAAGTGCCAAGGGGCTTCAGTGGACAGACACGCGCTAGCGTCGTTCACAGGCCAAACCATTGAAACGATACCACACTACGAACCCATCTTGTCGGACGATGGCGTCGACTTCGACGACGATGCCGACGATGCCGACGACCGCGACGATGGCGAACACGACGACGACCATGACGACGACGACGACAACGACCACGACCATGACGGCGACCTCAGACCTCCGACGTCATATTTTTTTCAGAACGTCGACTCCCAGATGTCTCGGCTCATTCCCCTGGACCGGCTTTTCGTCCTGCGTCGTTCTTTGACGTTCCTCGGGCCAGACGAGGGCCCCCAGATGCCCGAAATGATAGAAACTTGCCAAGCGTTTTTTGTTTTCCGCATCTGTTGTTGTTTTTTTGTTTTTGTTTTTGTTTTTGTTTTTGCTTGTTGTTGTTGTTGTTGTTGTTGTTGTTGTTGTTGTTCTTGTTGTTGTTGTTGTTGTTGTTGTTGTTGTTGTTGTTGTTGTTGTTGTTTTTCTTGTTGTTGTGATTGTTGTCGTTGTTATTTTTCTCGTGATGCGAGGTGGTCTGGGTTGACGACGATGGCGACCACGACAATGAAGACGGTGCTTCGAGGTTGCCTGTGACGGGTCGGTTGCAGCCTCTGCCCCGGCCCCTGGGTGTGGCCGCGACGCCGCGCTGCCAGGGGTACAGCACCGGCTGGCCGCCCTGGCCGCTCCGCTGCGGCTCCCGCTGCGTGAGCGCTCCCTCTCCTTTTCTCCCACAACCCGCGGCGCCGGTCAATTCGCGATGCCGTCACCCGGCCTGCCCGAGAGTGCGTGCGGTTTGCCTCTGCCGCGCTGCGATGTAAATGCTGTGACGGGTCGGCCCGAGTAGCGTTCCTCGTTGGTTGGCTGCCGTCAGTTTCACATTACCGTGCTAGTCACGCCGTCGTGGGTTCCAGTTGTCGCGCGCTCGTGATCTCGTCTCTTTCCAGAAACAAATCTCGGCCATGCGCAGAGGGGGTGGGGGGAGGGGGGAGGGCTTCTTGGAAGCACCCCTGCTTCTCAGAAGGCGCGGGCCTTATCTGTGGATGCAGGGCCGGCGCTTTCCAAGAAACAACCCACCTTTTGAGAAGCCTCTCGGCACGAACGAGAATGGGTACGGAAAGACTGGGTACAATGCCCAACAGCAGTTCCTGTTCATTTTGAACAGGACTCGCTGTCCACGCCGCCGCGGCCGGTGCCCATTCGAGACAGAAGGCCGCCTGCCCAACAGCGGCCGCTGTTGGCTTGGGACAGCATTTGCTGTTGGCCGTTGTGCCCATGCTTTCCGTGCCCATGTCGGGCGTCCAGCGCCTCCCCCCCTCCCTCTACCCCTTCTGTGTGCGCCTCCAGTTTCTCAGCCCTTCAATTTTTTTGAACGCCGTTCAGTTTTTTTTTTTTTTTTTTTTTTTTTTTTTTTGTTTTTGTATATATATATATATATATATAAAAAAGAAACTGAACGGCGACGGTGCTCCCTCAGCGCAGGCGCGGCCGCCCGCTGCGGGCCCCTCGGCGGGCTGGGCCACGGTGCCGCGTGCACCGGGCTCGCCCGGCTCGGCGGGTTCGGCGGCGCCTTCGGTGGCGCCATCGGCAGCGCCCACTGCGGCGCCGTCTGTGGCTGCGTCGGTCCTCCCTCCCTCCTCCGCCTCCTCCTCGCCTCTCCCTCCTCTGTCCTCCTTCTCCTCCCGCCTCACTCCTCGTTTTCCTCCTCCGCCTCCTCCTCCTCCTCATCCTCCCTCCTCCCTCCTCCCCCGTCCTCCCCTTTTCTCCCCTTCCCTTTTCCCTCCTCCCTCCTTCTTCCTTCATCCCTCCCCTGAGATCCTGGCGTTGCATTTTTTTCACCCCAGGCGTTTTCGTATGGTTCTGGGCCCTCGGACCATCACATATCCATTTAACATTGAACAGTACTGCAGACAAGGGGGTCCAGGGCTGAGTTGGCCCCGGAAACGGCAGGGTTTTTTTTAAAAAATGTTTTTGGGGGTTGAACCGGAAGCGCTGGTCGTACAGCGCCACGAGGGATGACCTCGGCGACCGTGGGATAATGGGAGCGGTCCCTCCCGGCAGAACAAAAGTAATGCACCGCAATACATGCAATCCCAATGTCACGTCAGGGTGTGGTGTCCCCAACGGCAGTGTTCCCAATTATGGTTGTGGTCCCCGTTGTATTTATGGGTTTTCCCTCCCGGGCTGTAGGGTAGTGTTCCTACGCACCCGGCTTCCCCCTTCATGTGTCGTGGCAAACCGAGCGTGTAATACCCGTTGCCGTACCCGTGCCATGGTGGACACCATAGGTAGCCAGGTCGTTGTTGCTGTTTTCCTGGTGAGCTCTGTCGTGGGCCAGCCCAGGCGGCGGATCAAGCCAGCTGTCGGCACAGCAACGCCCCGTCGCAGGTCGTCGTTGGCAGAGCATTCCCAGTAGTGGTGTTCGAGCGTGGGCACGTATGGCCCGCCACAGTGGTCGCATTTATCCGATACCTCTCCTGTCGTGTGGGATTGCAGGAGGTCGTCCGACACAGCACACCCGCACAATACCGCAGTGATGTGCGAAGCCAAGTCAGGAGTTGTCCGTAGTGCGTCCTGGGCGACCCGTAGGGCAGCCGTCGGAAAGGGAGCGCCCGCCGCCAGAGGGCTCTCGCGGCGAGTCCTGTTCTGTAACACAGACCATTCGTTGGATCGGAGGATCATGCGAAGTTCGTGTAGCTGCTTGCCTGTCCCGTCGGTGAGCCGGAGGCTTCCCTGAGGTCTCCTCCATTCCCAGTTGTCGTTCTGTTGGGCACCAATGGTAGCCAGATGCGCCTTATAAGCGAGGATCGGTCCTTGTGTCTGCGCGCTCGTGACAGCGTGGTCCCAGAAGGCGAGGGCATCCTGTCCCTGCCGGCGCAGCCGCCACCGCAGTAGCTGTAAGGATCTTCGGCAGAGGTGGTACCGCACGTCTGCCTGATGCCCCATGAGAAGCATGCGGAGTAGTTCTGGGGCCGCACCCCTCCACCTCCTGAGAGACACCGCCCGTCGTGCCAACTGCTGGTGGGTGTTGATCATAGTTTTCGTAGGCGGTGTGAGAACCAGCGCCCATGTCGACACAGGTAATGCCATCGCAGTAACCGCAAGCCGTCGTAGTCGTAGCGACAGAGGCAGAGAGGCGATCCGTCGGAGTCGCACGCACCCTTCCAGGAACTTGCGGTGTTCCCTGTTGGTCAATCGGGCTCTGTGGAGATTGAGATCCAGGCCCAGAATCTTCATGTTCATCCAAGTCAGCTGTGCGGCTCCACAACGATCTGGGTAGATGGTGAAGCTCTGCGTCTTGGCGTGGTTGGTCTGTAGAGTCGTCAAGCTCTCTAGGTGGTCCCATTCTTGTTGTATGCGCTGCATGTCTTCTGCTGTGTCGGTCATGGCGGTCCGGTCGTCCGCGTAAGTGCAGCACGTGGCCGTCGGAGCAATAATGCCGATTCTTCGCAGTGGTCCCACCAGAACCGTAGCCATCGCCAGCATAGCAACGGGGTCCCCTTGCGGCAGGCTGTTGGAGACGAGTATAGATTGGTCGGAGAGGAAAGGGCCCAGCTCAATCCAGCGCTCCTGGTGTTCCCATACGTATACAATGCTGTTGGTGATCTCGCTTGGGACGCCCTGATGCCGCCATATCGCGCCGACGAGGCGCGGGGAGACTCGGTCAAAAGCCGATTCGTAGTCCCAAGATGTGACGTGCAGCTCACCCCGGCGCTGCTGAAGGAGAGCTTGCTGTTCTGGGGTCGCTTCAAACGTGTCGTCCAGCCTGTTGGCGGTGATCGTCTCCTCGAGCCGGGAGAGGCACGGCTCGATGAGTTGCTCGAGGGTGCGGCCCTTCATCCCCCCACCCTGCGTGTCAGGGAAAGCAGGTTGGAGATACTCGGTGAGCTGAGCAGCCCTCCAGCGATGCCAGGCTCTCACAACCGCGCTCGCGATTGCTATGGGACGGAGTCGCGTCAGTACCGGCATGGTTGCCGACTCATCCTTGGGAATGTGTATCTGTCTCCACTGCAGGAGCTGGGGCGGCCAGCCGTGTTGTTCAGCCTCGGCGCAGATGTGAATCAGCTCCACGAGGGCGTCGTCTGGTAGAAGGATCAGCTCTTCTGGGCACCATTGGTCGGGGCCGTGGGCCTTTCCTCCGTGAAACATCCGTCGAAACTCAACTGCCCCAGGTGCTCTCCATGGGTCCAAGGGCCCAGCCGTAGCGAAGATATGTCGAGCGTGGTGGTGTTGGAGGTCGTGAGCCTGCTGAATATCATCCCGGGCGCTATCCAGATATTGTTGGTAAGAATCAAGATATCCCTGCACGTTATTCCCGAGACCACAAGCGTAAAAATGTTGGTCGTAATAATCTCTGACACGGTTCACAGCATCCTGATCGAAATAGTTCGTGGCAGCGTAGGTCGAGCCCTGCAAAACCTTCCGTGTAGGGTCTTGCACTGCCGTGTTGGAATAAGACGATACTTGGTTCCGTATCCAGGCTGCCGTGGTCTTGCCGAGCCAGTCTGCCTGTAGTTTTTGCCTCCAGACCCTGAGTCGTTCCTGTCTGGATCCCTCGAGGCATGCAGATAGCGCCTGCTCTACCTCCTTGGTGGCCCCTTCCCACTCCCAAGGGTTAGTGTAACTGAGTGGTGTGGTCGTGGTGGTATTCCCCCTTTGCCCCGTCGCTGTCGCAATTGGGTCGTCGTCGCCACCCATCGCAGCCACCACCGTCGTCGTAGCCGCCATTGTTGCACCGCCGTCTCCTCCTCCCACATCACTGTCCGTCGGAGCCCAGATGATAGCCCCGCTCGTCGCAGCCAAATTCGTCGTCGTATCCACCACCGTTGTTCCTCCTCCTCCATCGCCTCGACCTCCACCTCCCGCACTGCCCGCCGGAGCCGAGTTGGGGTTGGAAGTAGGGGTCGGAGTAGGGTTGGGGACCGCATTGCCCATCACTCTCCACAGTTTACGAGCTCGTCGTCGCCACTGCGCAAGAAGTTTGGCTGCATGTCTCCCCCTCCTGCCAGGCATCTCCCCTAAGTGTTGGAGGAGGCGCCGGAGCTGTCTCTCATGTTTCGTATACGAGTCGTTCCCCGATTCTTTCCGTGACCACGGTGCGTATTCAAAGGACGATTTCCCAACCTCGCCGTCGCGGACGAGCAAATCTGGTTCTGAACGTAAGCGAGATTCCGCACGCATGCACCACCACATCCAGCGATCCGAAACAGAAACAAACTGATCCGGCACACCCCTGGACCGTGAGCGCCATTGTGTGGCCAAGCGCTCGATGTACACAGCCCGTGCTTGCTCGTCCTCCTTCGCCTCCTTCTGCCTCTGTTCAGCTGCTCCTCCCTCTCCCTCTCCTCCCTCGCCGTTACTGCCGACAAACGTCCCTCCTGGAGTTGGGGCAGGAGTCGGTGGGTGGGTAGGAGCCGGAGCAGGAGTTGGAGTGGGAGAGTTATGTTGGGTAAGTGGAGTAGCTGTAGTAGTAGTCGTGGTGTTGGTAGTCGTGGTCGCGGTCGTTGTGTTGGGAGTCAGCCTGGACGCGCTCTGTGGCAAGGCGAAACGCGCGGCTCGTCTCCAGGCAACGCCCTTTGCTGGCTGCACGGCTTTCATGTCGACCATCACATGCACCAGTTTATGGTCGGAGAGATGTCATCCATGTACAGTGATGCTGTCCAGGTTGATCGTATTGGACCCCAAGAAATAGTCCAAAGTCCTGTCGCTGTTCCACCGCGTTGGTGTCGTAGGGGCTGTTACGCGCAGACCCAAGAATGATCCAATGTCCACAATCATATCGTCGTCTGGGAGGAGGTTGAAGTCCCCTGCGATGACAATCGGGAGCCCAGAGCCAATCCGTGCGTGTTGCTCTCCAACCCAGTGGAGAATGTCAAGTCTTGATTGGTCGTCTGCCATTGCACGCAGGTGTACGTTGGCAATAATAATGCTGCTCGTGGCCGTCTCCAGTCGGAACATAGCCGCTTCTCCCCCACCGGGGGCTCCGTGGTTGTCGGTGTTTCGTACGTGATCGATGTAGGTGGCTCGTGCACGCCGTTGTGTAAGCACACAGAGCCCGCCCACTTCGTCGCGAGAGCGCCCATACCGTCCCAAGGTGTGTGTAGCTGTGGCAGTACCAGTCGTCCACACCCATCCCTTGGTTGCAGCCAGCCGGCGGGCTGCCTGTGTGTCATTGGTCGTGATCTGAGTCTCTTGTACCAAGATCGCCTCGATTCCGTCTGCCTCCGCTGCCTCCAAGAGGGCCGCGCCGTGTCGTGACCAAGAGGCAAGATTGATGGTCGCAAGTTTGATTGGTTCTGGAGTTGTTCTCGGAGGGCACGCCGGCGCGAGGCCCGCCTCAGCAGCGAGAGGCCGGCGCCACTGTTGCAGCAACCGTGGCAGCCCTGTCCTTACGGATCGCTTGTCGCCGTCTGTGCCGCTCCTCCTTGGTCCGCACCTGCTCGGGCGGAAGGGGAGGGAGCGGGGTGGCGGCTTTGCCGCAGTCGCGCCAATGCTGGTCCAGCTTGCCGTCAAAGGACTTCCTGAGGAGGGTCTGCCGTCTGGCAAGGAGCCGCCACTGCTGCTGGGTGTATCCTGGGTGCTCCTTCGCCTTGTGGTCGCGCCGAATTTTCCACGAGGCGACA